GAGACAACTGGAAGAAGGCTGCTTGTCGAGGGTTTCGTATGATTTGGTTTATCCGCCGCTCTTTCGGAATCTTAACGGCCAATTTGTTTGTGAAGCTATTTTCGGCATTCGTCCGACCCCACCTGGAATATTGTATTCAGGCTTGTCCACCATGTCTTAACCGAGACAAAATGGACTTGGAGAGGGTGTTACGAGTGGGCACTCGGTTAGTGCAGGGTCTACGGGGACAGACGTATTTTGAACGCTTGCTCAGTTTGAGTATGTACTCCATGCACTACCGAAGGATAAGAGGGGACCTGATTCTCACTTGTAGTATTTTGACGGGTAAGATTGGCCCGGACTTGTCAGGGCTATTTAGTCCCGCTACGTTACCTAGTCTCCGCGGTCACCCACTGAAACTGCATAAACCACGGTCTGATAGGATTAGGACGGAAACTCGTCTATCGCGCCGAGTTATAGATCGCTGGAATTCGCTTCCAGATCACGTGGTTAGGGAACCTACTGTTAAGGGTTTGCGCGCCAGCTCGATGCTCTTGGGTGGCAACAGCAAACTTTTCCTTTTTCCTACCTGACTCACCTTCACTTTTCAGTTCTTTTTTTATTGACTCAAATATCTTGGTATTCCACTTGCTTAGCTCTTACCACTTTATCCTGCGTTTACTTTTTTCTCTTTCTTACTTCACGTAACCGGCCCAGCAGGGACTGCTAGGGCAGGATACGTGGGCATTAATTGATTGGACAGGGTGTGATGCGGTCTTTGTTTTAGGTCCATCAGTATTTCAAAGTTCGCCAACTCCTGGTTCAACGACCCGCCGAAGAAGGAACACTCACGGGATCATCCTATCGTTCCAGTCCCGCTTGAACTTGAACTTGAACTTATCATTAAGACTGCGCGTACTCAACACGCTATGTGACGTACATTTAAAAATCATCACAATATAACTATACCTCTCCTTGATCAATTCCATCCTTAGTACTAACAAATTCCTCCTTGACTAAAGCACACACCCACATAAATACATCAAGATGGTACTGAACGCCACGCAGTTTTATCCAACGGGAACAAAGCTCTTAACATATACCTACTGTTCGTTGAATAACTGATCCCAAATCAATCGATGGTACTAGGTTAACAACTAAGTTTCCACCGTTGTTTTAAATTTTTACGTTCGGTATGCAATTAATTGTTTTGGCATAATGTAAATCACTTGAAAGAGGATGTTTTATTTTTCGTTCGAGTTAATTGATGCTAATTGATGTTTATTTTTCGGATCATTAATTTGGAATCTCAAGTTGAGAAAACTGAGCATTTTCCACACCTTTTTACTTTTAATCAAGATTCTAAGGCCGCAATATCAGTTCGCGACATCTATGCTGGGTATGGAGAGGGTACCATAGCTTAAAACCCGCTCGTGATTGGTATGGCAAGTTCAGAGATGGAAGTTTTGACCTCCAAGACACCTCATTCTGGTCGTCTGCTGGGGTTCGATGTAGAGCGATTAAACCAATTTTTGCACGAAAATGCGTGTTAAACGACAACGGAACTGGTAGAGAAAATGGAGCGATCCCCTACTGCTATAGAGAAGCATCTGTACTCGATGGAAAAGATTCAACAGCATGCAGCATGTTCTTTGCATGGTTCCCGTGACGATAACAAAAATAGACGAGCCACAATTTTCGCTGGTTTGCTTGCTTGTCACTGCTCGACTCAAGGACACAAGCAGAGATTTCTTTTCGGAATCATTAAGGGCGACGAAAATGACGCCTGTACGTCGAGATGAAGAGGCGCGGCTTTTTCAGTTATGGCACGCTTTCAATACACAGCACAAATACGGCGAGCCCGTTTTGCGGCCTTAGAACCTTGATTAAAAGCTAAAGGTGTCAAGATGCTTATTTTTCGCAATTTGACATTCCGATTTAATAATTGCAAAAGTAAGATATATTAAACTAACTAGAACAAAAGCAAAATGGAACAAAACATCCGCTTTCGAAGGATTACCATTATGCTAAAAAAGTTAATCGCTTGCCGAATGTGCAAATTTAATATACGGCGGGAACTTTGTTGCCAGTCCAACATAACAGGTGAGTACACAGAGTGGGATGCTGTCGGCTGATCTAAGAGGTTGGTCATTCTGTGAACATTCGCGTTTGGAGGCATTCGTGCCCGTTGACTGCAATTTGATAGCGTTAACGACCATCTTGAGGGATCAACTGAGGAATAGGATTTCCTTAAAGAGGAATTCGAAAGCGCCATGGATGCAAGTGCCTGAGAAACCGTATAGATGTAATGAAACAAAAATTATTACGTCACCGCGCACACGCCAAAACAATGTTGATCTATATTCATTAGCACAACGTACGCGTCCAGGCACGCAACATGCATAAATGATCGAGGAAGCACTTTGTTTCACGCCCACTCACAAACGGAAGCATATTTATGCGACATCAAGACGTACAGCACATAACTGCATAACCGGATAACCGACACACAAATCTGCCTCTGTGTTCTCAGTGGTATGGTCCGTTGCAAGCAACCCCGCACCTATCCTGACCTGCCCTTACAACCATTACACATGTGAAGACGCGCTAAGTCCCACACTTTTCATGTGTTATCCTTATACGAGAAATAGAATGTCCTGGATTAATGTCCAAGACCTGATTTTGTAATAAGTCACGAATTTGTAACAAGTCAAGAATAAGTCACGAGATGCACATTCTAAGATTGCGATACCAAATGCGTGTTACAGATTCATGCAAATCAAGTCTATGGCACCTAACATGTCGGCACAGTTGTCCATCAGTAGTAATGTCCTAGCCATCTGCACTTGAGTCGGCTTTCATGTTTTCGAGTTCATACCGTGTGGGTGTCATATTACACATTATACCCTGTGGTGTGTCTGCGTACGTTTTTGGTTATTTCACAACATTTGTTCCCTTCATTGACTTGACAGTAAGGCGATATTTGGCAGATGTGGGCAGTTTGAAGAGCATCGTGAGCCACAAACTTCGCTTGAAAGGATTGAGTCACACGGTTCCACCGGAACCATATTGGTAATAAGGCTGGGACTACATAAGGGTACTATTTGCTAACAAACTATTAGACACAAACAATACGTACCACAACAAGCATGCTTCCAACTCAACAAACCACAACGGCAAGCGATTCGGTCTGAGAGCCATACTATAGGCTTCGGAGCGTCAGGAGTGCCAAGTGACGGCAACACAGTGCACGGTGTGTTCATGAAACTGGTGAAAGGACGGGATTGGTTAATCAGACTGGTAGAACGAGGACTGCGTGGGCCTTGAGGTGGAATGAGGTCAATCTGCTTGGGGCATTCACCGAATATGTCACAGATGCCCTGGCGCCGAAGAAGGAGTGAGGCTCTGACAGTAATCGCTGTGGAAGAAGGAGTGCAGACAATCGCAATCGGTGCGAAACGGGATGCAAAGGCACATAGCGGTCATCATGGAGAGATGAGGTAAACTGTACATGCAGGGATGACTAGCCCATATGGGCTAAGGAGAAAGACAGCTTATCGGAGGGTATGGCTAATATATCACGGCAGGTGAAGATAAGTGAACATGTCAGCGCGCAAAAGAACAGTCGGACAATATAGGAAAGGGGTTTTACCGGAATTGGCCAATATGTCAGGGTTGAGGTCAATAGTACACACAGGGTTGGGATGAAGGGCTCACAAGCGAGAGCGTCACAATGCTTGTTGCACTGACTGTATTCCATCCCAGCCACTCGTAGGTACAGTTGCTGAGATTGATGACTAACGAAGGGTGACGGTTATCGTTCTGTACCCACCGACGGGAAGAAGTCAGCTACCATGGATCCGCCTACCAGCTACCCTTACGAAGTGCATCTCGGATGGATGGTTTAAGCATTTTACTTAGCACGTTGAGCCATGATTACAATGACCACTTGAACTGCGTAACCAGTTACCTACTGGTCATGTTCTACATCAAGAAACTACACATGCTGTTGTACACGTATTTATCTCTGTGCCTGAAAAGTGTTTGCCTAGAAATATAAGTGAATGCTGCTTCATACCCATACGTATGAAGCAGGAACGCATTTTACAAAAAATATCACGAGCGTCTAAACTTCTTTCCAAAATGGTCTTGTTACTAATACACAAGAATTGATGAGATTGGTTGAAGTATTTTAGATTGTCTGATCTAAGTACAACCGGAGAAAAAGAAATGCAACATGCCATTGTGTGATTTTTGGGGTTGTGCTGGTCGAAAATCTGTGAACATCTGACATGAAAATCACGCGAGCCATGTGGGTCCCTTCGAAGTCGCAGAATCCTCCAATAACTTCTGGTTGGTTACTTCTCATTATCCAAGCCTAGTGTCTTCAACCTTACTCTGATAGCACAACACTTTGTCAAAGAAATGTTCTGGTAGCTTGCAGCGTGCGAACGTTGGTGAGACACTCGAAAACATAGATGGTCAAAATTGAAGCCCTTCATCGTGTGACCCTTGCTGGTAAAGTTACTGACAGCTGTCTTTAATGGAAAGACTCAAAACATGAAACGGTCCGAGCAATCATTGCGCTGCTGAAGATGAGACAATGTGTGAGGCTGAATCAAGTTTCGAAGTTTTGGGGAATTGAAGTTGCACGCACATTTGCTCATGACATCTTGCCGTCTCTCATTCTGAATCGCAAAAATTGCAATGAAGCATTTGGTGACAAGCATTTCAACTCTAAACAAGTACCACTTGTTGAACTTTTCTTGCGAAATAGCCCTGTATGTCCAGTAAGAAAGGACACCAAGTCGGTTATTTCTCGTGGCTGTTGTCATGTATGCATGTATCTACATATATATATCTGCCTTTTGAGTACAACGAAGTACGACGCAAGACTTAGACATTCTTCCACTTCTTTTACTGGTGACGAATAGCTCAGTTATATTGTATTCAATGCCGTTGACAAACCTCCGTTTTAGCTTCCAACAGCACACAATCACAATGTTGTTTCCAATTTGCAGGTGCTCACGGACCCAAGGGTATTCAGGGTGCTCCTGGATTACCTGGTGACAGAGGAATACCTGGTGCTCCTGGTGAAAAGGGTGTCCAGGGGCCTATTGGACCAGAAGGTTATCCTGGATCAGTTGGAGCAAAAGGTGATACAGGCGATCCAGGGCCAGTTGGTGATCCAGGTCCCCCCGGGATAGTGGGAATTAAAGGGTTCCCCGGGGCACCTGGACAATGTCTTCCACCTCCAGATAGTGCTGTTGGCGATCCCGGTCCGCAGGGTCCTCCTGGACTTATCGGTGAAAAGGGATTGAGGGGTTAGTCACCAGTAATTAACTATTGCCCTCGTCTTTTTGTTGACATTTACAAATTTCCATCACAGCGCCACCTAAATGACACTAGGGTTGTAGCTGAAAATCACTGGTGCTGGCGCTAGATGCGATCAAGCACGTGAAGACGTTCACATCTATAGACATCCGGCTGATATAACGTTAAGTAACCATGTGCACTTGTCTCCTAATTGGTATTTCCTTCAGTTTATTCTACGCTTACTTGTGCAAAGTGTTGTAACGGTATGTTGCTAACACAAGACGTAAGTACCTTGACCCCGGATGTTAGCTTAGGGCATTAGTGTTTTCAGGTAAGTCGCCCTTCTCTCCCTCTTCTTATTCTGTATTCTATTGGTCATCCTGTTTGTATGGCAGCGAAGCATCAGTTCAAGTGACTGATGTACTGCTGTTGATAATGATGTTCCAGACGCCAGAAAAAGGATGGAACAACCTTTATCAGCAAAGTTAGCTATGCGTATCTCGAATTTAGTTTGAAACACACGTGTGGAATGGATTGAGACATGCAGTCCCAAACTGGATGGATATTAGTCCCAGCTGACCGAAGTGCACTACAAAGCGAATCGCAGCCCACCTTGAGACTGCGTATTCCAATCTATGCACTCAATGCGTGCTTCAAAATGACATCTTCAGTCGGTTATTACCCGTTGTGACAAGCGTCGTTTGCGACTCGGTGGTTTAGGGATACAGGCTTGTCTTGGCAGCCCCAGGGTCAAGGGTTCGATTTGTAATCCTCCTACCTACATCTGAAGTGTGTAAATCAGCACGAAACCGACTGAGAACTGGGCAGCACGCAGCATTTATCTATTGTATGTATTTCCAAACTGAGTAAATTCCCATTTCAGTATTGCACCAGTCGATCGGGCCCAAAGCACAGCCTTCGTTTCCCGGTACCGAGGATGATCATAGGGTAGCACTGCGGGATGGTTTAGTTCAGCACATTTTAACCGCACAATTGCACCTAAGTAATTTGCGCTGTTACTGAACCGTAAATAATATTTTGTGTCTATTATATGTCCATTTAAAACTCTCGTTCATTAAAGGTACTACCGGAAAACCAGGAAAGATAGGGCCTCCCGGACCTCCAGGCCGAGGTATACCCGGAATCAAAGGTGAACGTGGGGACATGGGACCCAGGGGTCCACCGGGTAAGTTTGATAAATTGAACGATTGTAGTACTTTTCCAGCTCCTTTACAGTACTACCTGGAGTGTACTATAAATTTTTATTAGATTAAGTACTCAACACAGGGAGCAAAATCTAGCAGCATAGGAAGATTACCGATTTGAAGTAAGCAAAAGAGTTATACGTCTGCGCAAGATTTTCTCCTCAGTAGTGTGGGAGAGAAAACACCAGGCTTTCTTCTACTCTGAAGCGTTGTTTGTTATCGGCCATTCTGTACGTGCAGATAGGGTAGCCATCAGGGTTAATTATTGCGAGGTTGAGTACATAGCCGTGTTCAGATTTTCATGGTTCACAAGCGTGAAGATGTTATGGTTGCTCTTTTCAACTCAGCGCTATTATTCATCCAGCATTCATTGAAATAATTAGAAGAATTAGAATACCGCAACTGATGGATGAGAGCAAACAGATGAAGGGGCCGTTTATTTCAGAGGCTCGGCATATTAGGGATACTAGTAGCACACCGGTCATCACTGGCTGCCTCAGGGTTCGCCGTATTCCAGGTTACCATAGCTTGTGAAAATATTTGGGCATAGACCGAAAATCTTAACAGATGCCACTCAGTTGTTCACTCTAGCAAGGGCAGTGTTAATAAATGACTTGCATTTACATGTGTACGGCTCACTCAAGCTAATGTAAGCCACTCCCAAGGAACCGCTGATAATCACCCAGGGATTTTCTGTAGTGTACTTTTTCCGGATTCCGTTCTCTTTTGTGTGAGGTTCGAATTATGCATCCTTAGCAAGTGAGGACGGCTCAAATGGTTTGGCAAAGTTCAATCGGTTACAAAAGATGTACTAGGTTTTGCCAGAGCATCTGTGGATTGTTGACTTTCTGCTAAACAGTCACACAATGGAGAATGATTGCTTTTGCTAATGGTTGGGCAAACCCTGTTTAGTAGCCTCAACTGTAGCACAGTCTAACGTCCTTCATTTTAGTGGCATATATGTCCACCATACGCTTATCATACGCTGTACACCGTAAAGTGTATGTGGACTTAGGTGCGTCAAATGTAGAGCCAGATGAAGCTTTCAGAAAGTATATTGTATTACTTGTTTGTGCTCTGACAATGCTGCATTCACTCGAACAAAATCTTACCGACATGTGCCTGAAGAGCTTTGACAAGTCTACGTGAATCACTATGCCAATTGATGACGCAGCCATTGCATGCAATTTGTCGGTTTTATGATTTTACGTAACACCTGCGTTAGGTACATCACCGTTCAAATGAGGACTGCTTAGTTGTTAAGACCGCACTTACTCTATGTATCAAGCGCCTTCACGATACAGGCTTATTTAGCTGCATTAAATTAGTATTTGCTGAGCCTCACATTGACATCAATATGCCTACTTCCTTCTCTTTATGCAGGTAAGAAGGGTGAGCCTGGTGAATACGGTGATCCGGGTGACATGGCGCATCCAGGCGCTAAAGGTTTACCAGGACGTCCTGGTCCAAAGGGCGAAAAAGGGGCTACTGGAGTACCCGGTGATCCCGGTCCCATGGGGCCGGTTGGAGATCAGGGACCTGCAGGCGACGTTGGTTTTCCTGGTGAACCCGGTCAACTTGGGTTACCTGGGACACCAGGTGAAAAGGGTGAGACTGGTTGGCCTGGACCCTATGGACCTGAAGGTGACCGTGGCATGAGAGGTGATCCGGGGCCCATGGGACCACCAGGTTTGCCAGGCGATGATGCGGTCGGTATACCTGGATTAAAGGGAGACAAAGGTGACAAAGGCCTTCAAGGACCAAAGGGGATTCCAGGAATTCCTGGTGAACGGGGAGAGAAAGGCCAAAAAGGAGAAATCGGTCTTCCAGGCCCACAAGGAAGAGAACCAGGTAGCCCAGGTGCTAAGGGCGAACCGGGTGTTAAAGGATTACCGGGGGACGTTGGTCCACGAGGTGCGCCTGGCGACCGGGGCCCCACAGGTTTTCCAGGACCCAGTGGTCCATCCGGACAAGCCTTGTTTTCGACGTATCTCTTTACCCGACACTTCCAGAATCCTGACGCGGAGCTGGTCTGCCCACCAGGGTCTAAAAAGATTGGCGACGGGTACAGCTTTGTGATGGCCAACGGCAATGGAGAATTGGTCACTATGGATTTGGGTGAGTGATTTTGCTTTACGGCTTGCTACAGACCTATATGGTCGATAGCACTTCAAGTAAAGTCGAGAATTAATTTTATGCGCCTAGAATAGGTGTATATTGAGCTTAATTGCGTACCCCTATGTCGATGTTAAATTTTTATTTTTAGTAATATGACCACATGAGCAGCGTGGCATTTTAAAGAAATAAGTAAAGAAATAAATGTTTCAATCCCGAATTGCACGACCCAAGTCTGAAAGGGCATGATCAGCTAATTACAGAACTTTTGAAGCGCATAAAATATCGCAGCGAGTGTTCCTCAGCTAGTCAGATAATATGCTGATAACTAGTATTGATGAGGTGTGGGTGTCCAGATTAAATAAGTCTGCTGAAGCTCAATAATGTTTCCATTCTATTCTGCTTAGAACAGAAAGAAAAAAATTAACAATAATTATGTGGGATTGGAGGAACACGAGTGTCTGATCAAGATGGTGCTTCAAAAACAGAACTGAATTGCCCGCAGTCAACTGCGCGTCATAGCAGCAAGTTGTTCGATTGGATCGGTGCCTCGATTACAGCGAAACATGCGATGGGATAGTCGTCATTTGATTGGTCGGCTAAATCATTGCAGTTTGTAAGATTAAGACCGCAGGGCTTAATCGTGCCTAAATCCTAGCTAAGTAGTGCCAAGAGAGGACGTACTGCCTATTATTCGGAGAGCAGAGAAGGATAAGAACACTGTCTCTGACAGGGATTGGCGATCTCCAGATGTAGTAGGATAGAGGCTATACATATCCAAGTGCAGGTTTTAACCTGTGAGAATGTAAAGGGCAAATTTTGGCCCTTCGAGTGCAGACTGAAGATCCTATCTAGAAACATCGGTGTAACTCCAGGGGGGGGAATAGTAGGTGCACGTGTTCTTGTTGTAGTGAAAAGAGCCGAACCCAATCGTTCAGATCCCAAGGAAGAATGCAATTCCTAGGTAAGATAGCAATATGACAATCATCTAGATGGGGTCAGGGATAGTATCAACAGGAGACTCTGTCCTCCATAGCCAATTGGAAGATTAATGAAATAAGAGTGAAAATCCTCCGGTCACTTGCGAAAATGCTGCGTCATTTCACCGGGAGAGTTATAAGTGAATATTAAGTGTGTACTTTTAGTAGGGAGAGAGAAACCCAATTGTTCATGCATCAAGTAAGAACAGCAGCTTTGTCCAGCATGGAAAAACGGTAATCTTTCCGATACGGTGAGTTTCAAGAATAGCATGGTAATCTACTGTACATAGAAAGGTGAGTTTTCCGTATGCTTCAAAAAGACAACCATTTGGTTTGCTTGCGGAAGCTGATACTTGATCAACCGATGCCGGCGAACGATCCTCCGGTGTGCCAACAAAGCATTTCTTCAAGTACCCTGGAAAGACTGAGGGCCAACAAAGAGCAAATCGAGGTTCTGCGGATAAACACGAAAAGAGCTGGAAGGTTTATAATTGTACTTTATCGTTGCAACCATATATTATAGGAAGTTGGTTACTATGCACACTAGAAACCCGTGTTCTAGCAAAGAGGTTCAGCTCTGGAACATTCATTACAAAATCTAGATTACTGGAGCTGTTAGGGGCACGGCTAGTAGACAGGCACTTTAGCACTCTACCCCTATGTCAAGCGAGAATCGTGTGAGGTGGTGTGAGGTCGGTCCATCTACTTCAACGGGAACAATGTCCCCCATGTTCGTCGCAATAACAATCGCACAAAATTGTTCAACCGCCTAGCAGCCATTGCTGATTCAGGTTAGAGTGTGCATTGTCTAACCACGGCAACTGCCTGACTCCCACAGACCTAAGGGACTGCGGAATACCAGTTAGGAGAATGCCTGTCTACGCCACCATCGTAACCATGGTTAGGCTGCTGAAATAAGCCAGCACCAGGTAGCGGCTAGCGATCAATAAATATAGACCGCTTCATGTGGTGGTTTGTATGTATGTCCGCACTGGTTACGGCGCAAGCTTCGGATCATGTGGTAGCTAGGATCTCCTCCTTAGACAGGCATCACAACTTGCCCATTGGACGGTTTCAGTTTAGAGAGAAATCATCGGGATTTCCTATAGACGCGCACCAGCGCAGCACAGTAAGTGGGGCTCGGCCACTTTCAGTGGATTGTCTGGCGCTTATGCTCGGGGCTTCTAACCGGTGTCCCATTGGCTAACGTCCCATGACCGATGAGAGTGTCAACGATGCCAAAACAGCGTTCTTCGCCTAGCTAACTTGAATGCACAGCATGCGATTGCGAAAATGCAGCACCCTAAAAGCTTGGTACAATGCGTTAACATGCCTGCAAAATGTTATAAGTTTCCACTACTTCTCGAGCAGTATGATGCTAATGAAAACGGCTTGCGCCGACCGCCACAAAGCCACACATGGACACCGAAATCTTGATGGCACCGCAAAGCCTGTTTTCCCAGAGCATGCATTCCTCCCAACGCTACTACTTGTTGGAATGCCGAACGTGAGAATTCGCAACCTGAATCTTGACGCGTACTTTACTGATCAAGGAAAACGAGCTATTTCTCATTAGCAGTCGCGTACGAAATTTACTACCCGACTGAACTAAGCGTATACTATAAGTTGACAAATCCCATTTCTTGTCCATTGGGTTTTGTCCCTTACAACAAGTTGCAACAACTGGCTCCCGGTTACCCGCACACGTCCCCATTTTAAGTAACATGACCAATTGAGAATCGCCGCAGCAATTCCAGAGAGAGCTTAGTTGTTGTTAATCCTCTATCCAAAAATCTAACGGACACAGACTCCAGCAAATGTTTGGCATCCAGTATCGGGTTGTCTCTTGAAAACCCCGGTACGATATATTACGAATATTTTAATGATACCGATCACCATTGGACCAGCAATCTATCATCATCACATCACGAGAATGCTCACAAACCCCTCCTGATACGCACCACACGTCGGCGATTAATTGATCACGTTCTGATGCCACTATCACTAATACGAGAGCGAGCTCAAAGTCTACTAAAACCGAAACAAGCCGGGAGTCAGCGACAGTTTACAAACCTGCTAACTTTGAAATTGACACACCTAATGCAGCCATACCAAGCTGCTTAACTGGCTCTAAATTTAGTAGTAATAGTCTCATCAACGCACAGTCGCTTGAACATAAGATACACTTATTAACCCTTTGTGTACTGGCGGTACTCACAAGTACCACTTTGTTTAAATTGTAATACTGCTTCAGTGCCAGCGTAATTCCTGCCGTTACTCGCGAGGATACATACAATAGTCTTCTGTCAGCAGTTAAATAAAGGTCAGAACTCTGATACTTTGCTCTACAGTGTGCGGAGTAAAATTTTGTGGTTCATGTCGAGCGATGGGTAAATAAATTCAGGACTTGAGGAGTTAAGCAATTTTAACTATCTGGTCCACAGGCGGGGCAACTTACCGCAACAAAACAACCCTCCGGTGCGTCTGAAACGACTCGACATGTCATAGGATAGATATCGTACATTAATATGTCCATCAATACACTATTGCTCAATTGATTACATCCTCAATGCATTCGATTTCATCCGTAAGTTAGCAGCTTCCCTCAGTAGTGCAGTAAAGGTCATCCGATAATCATCGAAATTGCACCCAGGATCGTATTGGGTGGTCAACTGCAACCAACCAATAGCAATCGGACAATATGCCAGCACGCTTGCTAAACCTAGATCCATCTGCGGCACGGATCAGTCGCGCTTTGGGGAGCAGCAAAAAGTGTTTGCACTGTAGCTACGCTACGCAAAGTAGAAGACCCGCGTGGGCATACTCAACTGGACGGTATTTGAAGCCTTGCCACACGGACCTCAACTATGCACTCAACTTGGTGCGTAATGTGACTGCGCGTGCTAACAGACAATGGGGCTCTTGGCTTGACGAACCGGTCCAAACCACAAAGGCAAAGCGAAGTCAGCACACTTCCAGGGTCAAGACAAAGGCGGGGGCGACAGTGAACATGTCCGATACACTGGGTTAAATCGGAAGTGAGTAGGGGCGTGATCAAGCCTGCTGTGAACGGAGTCAACAACGGTCTCACAAAGAGGGCTTGAAGAAGCAAACGAGGTGTCCGTTTGAAGCGAGGATACAGGTGTCGCAAGGAGGACCAGATTGCACAATGCTCTCTCTAAGGATCAGATCAGTTACCACACTTTGATGTCACCTTAGGCTATTTCGAGCGAATTCTTCCTCACTTAGGGGCACAGAGCAGGCTACTGTTTAATTCCAGGGTCAAATTGTAAACAACGCGAGAAAGAGATCGATATCCAGCGCAGCGGAATGTCTACAGTGGGCTAAACCTAACATTGGTGACATCCCCATAAGAATCACAGAACTCAAAGCTGATCGAGATAGAGAGAATAGCTGGATAAAGCATCTAGTAGCTGTTTGGAAATAGATGGGTGTTGCTCTTCCCAGCACTGGCACACCACAACCGCGGTTTCGTCCTGGTTTGGACTCGTCAGGTGGAGATAGCCTGAGCTGGGGTGGAACTCAGAGCCTAGTAGTTCACGGCTGACGCCCTGAACACTATGCTACTGAGATCCGCAAGCAGCGCTTGGCACAGCGGAAAGCAATCCAAAGCAGAATTTAGGGAACACTCTGTGTGGTTGGGTTGCGACTCGCAACCTCTATAGAGACCTCGGTTCACTTTGAGGTAAACCTCCGTCATTCCGATCTCTAGGAGCGTATCTGGAATGGAAATAGTAGCTGTTTGATTTCGACCTTGCAAATTCCTTTCAAATGAGATGTTAGACCGTCAGCTCTATTACTTTCATCCCCATTCTTCAGGTACGTACAGACCGCAACAACTAGCGCACTTGCACTACTTCGTGTAAAAAGAATTATGTTAAAACCAACTGGTCTCATGGGATTAGTTGCAGTGGTAGGTGCCGGATTACCGTGCCCAGAAAATGGAGTAGGCCGGGCACATGGCCGGTGACTGGATGCATGTTAATTTATGTTGGGGGAATAAGTAAATCGACAGGCCGGTTCGATTGTTTGGCATTGAGACTACTTTTGGATAGAAGGCTTTTGCTGCTATATCGAGTGACGCGAAGTTTCAGCTATGGTGTCACTTCTCACATGTTGTCGCAAGGTTGGACTAATGAATCTTCGTCTCTGACTCCGAACAGCATCCGTTTAGTTAAGCGTGGGCATTTGCACGACCAAGTTGAAGGGTGGGTACCGAAATCCAGTATTGTCTTCATCTAGGGCTTTTATTCTCAGCATTTCCGTCGGGGATGCTTAGGGCAGTTGCTGTCTCGGAACTAACTGATGGTGCTACACTGTGAGGGACAAGAACCCAATGGACAACAAATGGGATTTTAGTTGGTTCATCGCAATTAGATTCCAAGCCGCATAGGTAAACTACCAATCCGGAAAAGCACCAGACGCGCGTTTTGCCCTATTGGGTCTCGTCAGTGCTGCGCATCCATCGGTCCGCTACTGGGGATCGAACCCATGACCGCTAGAGGCTAACGCCAGCTAACCAGCCGCTTATGCCACAAAGCCATGGGGACGACAGCCGACCATTACGAAGTGAAACCTAACTGCTATATATATGGGATTTTGTCGAATGCTAGTATTCATCTTGTTCAGTCGGTTAGTCAATGTAGTGCACGCTTGCTCATTGGGAAAAGTTCCTTTTGCTTGCTCAATGAAGTACTAGTCGCGCTCCCGGTTGCGAATTTCCACGTCCAGTTTTTCCAATAAGTACGGGCGTCGGGATGATTGCAGGATCTGGGAAAACAGGTCTTTGCGGTGTTGTTGTGGTTTGCGTTTCCATATGTAGCTTCTGGTTTTGAGATTTGGCCTGTGGCTACTTAGTTTACCGCTTTATCTTGAAGATGCAGTTTCCATCATGGGAGTGAAGAGCGTCATTTGAGCACACGGGGCCAAAGGGGCCTTACGTCTTTTAGGTCGTTAGTTAAACTGCGGAGAACAAGTGAATGGATGGGTTTTTGGTAGTTGAACATCATGAAAGTCAGCAGCTAGGTGATGCAGCGCAATATCGCTCTCAAGGTCATCCTGGGTCCCTCGTGTCGTTGTTTTACTTGTGTTGTTATCGAATTAATGGCAAGATTATGAAGAAGTAGTGTGAAGTTTATGGTTTGGTGTCCACCCTCCGTTGTCGTTCTTGGCGTAATTGTTTTTTTGTATGACTGCGAATAGGTGCTTAGGGAATAATTCAACATGTACGCTTAGTGTTATGACCAGGCTACTAGTAGTTTTACACTGTGGCACAGAGCGTCTTTGTTGTTTAGCATGGCCGTACCCGAAGTTAGAATGGCTCTCTGTAGTGGTGTCTTATCGTTCTTAACTAACATCTGGCCAAGGTCCTTCTGAGCTCTCATGTGAAATATTTTCTCTAAGAAGATTTTAGCCACTTCTCGGATAATAAATGTGCAGACGACGGGGGGGATCATTCTGCTACCTTCTTTCTCAGTCGTCTAAATGTGCAACAGTCCAGCTGAATTTTGCACGAATTCAAGAGTACGCGCTTCGATCTGCCGAGAACCAGACGATTCAGAGAGTTGAAGATGATTGCGTTGAAGGCAATTGAGCGCGCTCACTAACTTTATTACCAATAGTTGCAATTAGCTCATCGGCCGATTTCAGCTCATCTGGAGTACCGCATTTGTTAATATCCGACAAATTAGTTGAAGGCACAATCTGCCAAGTTCTATCACTAGAAAGCAATTCGTTCATGAGGATATTTACTTCGATTTCAAATGAGTTGATTTTAACCAACGTCTCGGTCTGTTGATCAGAAAGAACGGTTTCGCATCCCTTCGTCAAAGTTGAGTGCACTTTTGATGCTGAAGCTTTGGTGTTCGTAGCCGTTTTCTTGATACTTCGACCAAGATTCTTACGTTTAGCTCGCGTGCCGGATAAAATAAATATAGAAGACACAAATATGATGACTAGAAGAAAAATAAACAAAGATTCACAGATCTCACCCGTTAATTGTATGTGGAAGGAATACAGTTGGACACGTAGGCCCAAAAAGGGAAAACGTGGTGTTGCTAAAACTGTGTTACTTAATAACACAGAGTAAATAGTGATATATATATATATATCGAATTCCGAAGGAAGCCAAGTAACTAGCTAAACTTAGGATAAAATACTACGTGCCGTGTATCCATTCGGCGATCTCGGTAGGTTTTAACAGCCCCTATCGAGGTCATCTAGAGCCTTCGTTGAGTGAACAGTTCACTATTGGTCAGGGTGTCAATCAGCCGTTTCGCCAGCTCCACGGTTGATTCACCCACTGGGTTGCTGTCCGGGAGAAAGTAAGAAATGCCCACAAAATCCATTATTTCAGCAATTAATCGATTGTTACTAATTATCGCATCGATTTCGAAGGTGCTGGAATGTTCTAAGGCCTGCACGTGACTAGCAACTATCTGCAGACCAGCCAAATAACCGTGGAACAACTAACCTTGACAGCTGACCTAATTCTAGAAGTAGTAGGTCATGAGATGACCTATGAATATGACCGTGGTACAGTTCCAGTTTGCCTGCGGTTAACGCGTCATTTTGGACAAGGTAATTTTGACTTTCTCCTTCGTTTAGGTTTGAAGTCGTGTGGGATAGAGTAAGTCCAGGTTTCGGAATTGCAGCAAGTGAGAAGATTTAACTGTTACAAAGGCTAACTGTTCGCTATGTCAAAGAGTGTATCTGCTGTTCCAAGAAAACAGTATTGTAAGTTAACGTCTATCGCAACGCAACAACAACACAAAACCGTGTAACACTGTCAAAAATTAGCGAACGTTCATAGATTTGGGAGGCCAGACGACCATTTGTTGGTGGGCGTGGTTTCATCAATAAGAAGATGCACATGCCCTAACTTCCGGATAAAGCCGACTACACACAACGTTTCGCACTTAGTAAAGTGAACTCATCATCAAATAGGTTCATTAGAGATTTTCCACTCCTAGACTTATGCTTTCTGTATTTTTAAATCTTAAGCAGGCCCTCCAATTTGTTGCGGTAGTATGTAAACGCTCTACTCTAAACCAATGTCGAAGACTGTAGTGACTCGGAGACCACTGGAGATCGCTATCCAAAACAAAACCTTTTTGGGCTCGATACCATCATATTTCGATCCACGACATTCGGTTCCCTAATGAGTTCTTCTTCATGCTTTTATCTTTAAAGGATCTCATAGTTCGTGCCTGAATATGTTCAGCATAATGCCATTTTTCCAATGTCTTCGGGATGGAACATGCCAGCTTGGAGTTCGAGCAGATAGGTCTTACTGGTTAGCCACTACAGAACCTTTACCTATGATGCCGTTGGACGTGAGCGAAGTCCGCAGACGCGTTGCTCGGTGTGTCATTTGTGAAGCCCCAACTCAGCCATATGCTTTTCACGCCCAAGCAAACCAGCTTCAAGAGGTCTATTGCCCAAACGGATGGGCTGAGCTTTGGAATGGCTACAGTTTCGTTATGGTATGTGAGCATCACATTTGCTATACTGATTGCGCGATAGGTGATTCGTGTGTGATGTCAAACTTTGTACCTACCTCATCCACACTTTTGCCTATATAAATATCCATCATCTTAGATTTAGACTGACCAACCATTAGCCACTCAGTGCTCAGTGGTTTGTTTAGTCGAGTCAACTGCGCCAGTTTCATGACATGTTTTATGTCTGCCCTGTCAGGGCTGGCAAAGTTAGACCTTGTACCATTTGTGCTTCTCCCACGTGGTTATCACTCCTGTTACGTGTCTGGGAGCATTAAACTTAGACCTTACTCTAGGATCCAGTTACCCACGAACATTAGTTCATAATGTCTTTAATGAGTAGCAAATAAGCAAGTAAGCACGAACAGTTGGTGCACCCAGGCTAGTGCACGAATGGGCGTAAATTTTGGCATTAGCTAGATTTCACGCTTTGATCAACAGTACAACAATGAACAATGATATATTACAGGTAAAAAAGCGATTGCTTTAAATGTCCCGCAGGATGGTGGAAGTATAAGCAAACATAAGTGTAAATCGTCAATTTCAGCGTCTAGCGATTCAGGTGTCCCTTATTCATATAAACATTTTGGAATGTGTACTGAATTGTCACTGCAGAGTAAGATGAGGAAGTAATATGGGGAATGTGGCTTAAGAACAAAAGAAACGATAACGCTTACTCGTGCGCCGCTTTCTTGGACTGAGGGAATTGATGAATGCAGTCGTAATATATCCGAAAGTATATTCCACAACAGCAGTGTGTAAGTAGTGAAGCACGAAAGCTGAGAATGAGCACCGATTGTTTGTGTTTGGTTGACCTAGACATCTGTGAGTATATATCGTAATGTAAGTGGATAAGCAAATCATCCCGACGTCTTTTGAACACCGTTAGCGTGGGGGAAGAAACCACGTATGTGGGAAGAGCGTTCCAGTGTTCGCATACACGAAGAGAAAAGAAATTTCGGCGGCATTCCAACCGGCTGTGTTGTGTGGCCAGCTTTAGCTGGTCTCCTCTGAGTGTGGTATTGCTATTCAGCTTTAGTAGGTGACGACAAGAATGGTTTGGATTCTTCAGGATCATATAAGTCATTGTCAAGTCGCCACGCAGTAGCCTAAGCGTTGCGTTGTACTTTAGTTGGCTGACATTGAGATCGAATTCAACAGGAATAGGCATGGAGTTATTGAGTAGAAAGTTTTGTCATTTGTCAGAGGACATAGTATAACTAGCTAGTTGCTTGGGATTCCCTAATTCTCATGCAGATTGTACAAAGGTTACATGCAAACGTTACACTGTGTACTCGAAGTATTCGTTTGTTGCCCTACATACAAAAGTGCATGAATAGATTAAAGTTGTGCTGTGACAGCGCTTGCGGAACCAGACTGGCCTGGTTATCTGGTCTTACTTAAGCTCAACTGCGTAACTACTACTTACTTAACCCTGAGACTGATTGATTGCATAATGAAAATTTTCCGCGTGTTGCACCATACAGTTCCTGTAATTTAACTGCAATTCTGGTAAGCTGATTGGTGCAGTCCACCTTAAAACAACGGACTGCCTTTCTAAGAACAACGGGGCTAAATTCACCATGGTGCGCAACACATAGTTCATCGACCATTCGCTTATTTCCTCCCCTCCGTTGCAGTCCATAGTCTTATCAACGTTGTTCGATGAGCTATGTCTGACCTCATCTGTCGTTTCACAATGCAGTTATATATGCTTTTAAATGTTGCTGGCTAACAACCACATCCCGGATTGATGCGCTATTCTTTTATATAATTTGTCAGCATACCGGAGGAAGCACTGGTGGTGGACAACAATTATCCTCTCCTGGAAGTTGCCTGGAGTACTTTCGGTACTCCCCCTTGTTGGAATGCAATAACGGGATGAGTTTATGTCATTACTGGTCGGACGCAAAAGCCTACTATCTGCGACACGTGAGCAACGGTACAGAGTTCCAGAAGCCACCAGGGAAATATATGACAGAGCATACGCAGGATGATACAACGGTGCTGCGTGAGATTAGCCGCTGCCGGGTTTGCTTGAAAAAACGATTCGAAACGTTTGCTTACTGACCGAGCGCACGTGAACGTCATTCAAGTTACACTTTGGTCACACACCACAAGCTCGTTGAGTTTTGCCTTCGTTTTTGTCTCAGCATAGGGAGCCGCAGCCGAGGTAAACACGTTTCCTCAATAACATTCGCAATAACAGATAATTCGTATATTCTGGGCAATTGTGTAAGAAGATGAATAAAACTATTAGCCGAATGCTTCCCACAATTCTCTACTACTCGCTAAGCATTTCAAGTTTATTTTTTCTCGTGATGTAATTTACTATTTTTGTGCTTCTTCGTTTTTCTGGTTTCTTCTGTTGTACCCAACTATTCCACTTGTGAACACTTCCACCCCCCCTCTGTTCGAAATTGTGTACTTCAATGCACCTATCCTCCACGCGTCATCTTCTCTTGTAGACCAACTTACCAAACAGGTCTATCCAACTTGCTGCCCGATGCTCCCAAGCATTACAACCCAGTATTGTTCTAGAGTTATTTGAACAAAATTTGTCAGCCTGACATTAACAGACCAGTTTGAAAACATTAAATGTTAGGAATTATACATGTTCTAAAGAATATATTTCGCACTATGGTCAGCTGTATTTTGCTTATTATCTGGGACGCATTTCAGTTAGTGGCTACCCTAAGGCACTAGTCCCTAACCATTTTATGGCCGCGGACCAGTGAATGTTTGATGATTTTACCTTGACCAGCTGCGATGCGGCTTTAATTGTTTTTATTTTAGAATGTTTCGATTTAACAAGGTTAGTTTACTTGTATTTAAACCTGCCTTAAAAATAAAATACAGTTACACTAAAAAGTGGAAATGAAGTGATTGAACATATATTAGCTCACTAGAAAGCTTAATCATTGAGAATCCTGAGCCTGTTTCTCTGCAACGAAACTGTTCCATCTGGGGGTAACAGGAGACAGTGACACCCGAAGTGTGTTGCTTATGTCTAGTTTATTCCGTTGTTTTGTTTTGGTTGCTGTCACTGCAGAAAACCTCCCTTCACACAAATAGGATGTCGGAAATGGCATTTCAATGCTGTGATGGCCATCTGAGGGTAATCCTCCATGATTTTACTCCAGAATACCGGCAGAGTTGTTGCCTCGAACGTAGTTTTAAGGCTGCCGTCGTTTGCAATCTCCAGTGCATGATCTTCTTCATGCACGGACATGCTACACTCACCTAGTTTTTGAAAAATGGGTCTCGGATCCATTCTTTACCAGTTAGTGGGTCTTTGGTGCTTGGGAAGTAGCGCTCGAACTCTTTTAAAAGCAGAAACAGGTGATCGTGCACCAAATGGGAGAATAAATGCTCAGGGTCAGTCTCGCCTAAAATCCCCACCAATGTTTGAAACCTGTCCAAACTGCGTCTGTTTACGCGCCGTCTCCATAACTCCGGTTTAGCTTTAAATGCAGCTACTTTGTTTGCCAAGTTGAAAACGGTTGTCATTTTCTCCTGAAGGAATGGGTTGAGTTCATTGAGCAGGCTGAATATGTCATACAGGTAAGCCCCGTTTTGCGACCCATACCTTGTCACTGAAACGTACTACCAGCGGTGACTTCTTTTCTGAGAGAAATCTATGCAATGGTTCTCGTATTTCCAATACTCTGGCTAGTGATCTTCCTCTGGATAACCATCTTAATTCTGTGTACAAGAGAAGACATCTGTGCTCCGCGTCCATCTCCTTACAAAGCTGCTCAAACAGGCGCGAGTTAAGGGCATGTGCTTTGATATGGTTAATAACCCCATGACATCAATCAATACACTGTTAAATTCCGTGGACGTTTGTGGCTTACCAGTAGTTCGCTGTGAATGAGATAATGCCAAGATTCACTCTCAGGTTTAGCCTCCTTAATCCGAACAGTTAAACCAGTCGTCCGGTCATGGCAGCTGCTCCGTCTGTACATATACTGACACAAAAGGACCATTTTGGTTGTCCTGATATATAACCAGCCAGCGAATTGAACATTTCCGTTCCTGTGCTGCTGGTTGGCAAAGATAGTGCGTATAACAAATCCTCATCCACATCCTCCTGCTAAAGAAATTGCACATAAACAAGTAGTATTGCCTTGTTGTCGATATCTGTAGATTCGTCAACCTGGAGTGCGTACCACGGTGATGTATTAATCCTCTCCAACAATTGTATCGCAATGTCTTCGGCTATTTCCTCAATTCGTCTAATCACAGTGTTAGCCGACAAAGGCACATATGCTATCATGTTAGCAGCAGCGTCTCTACAAGTTCACGGCAAATGTCTTTAGTGAAGGGCAAGATCAATTCTACGCCAATAGTGAACGGCTTTGTAGCCTTAGCAATACGGTTATCCACTAAATATGATGGTCTCACTGCATTCTCCTTCATTGATGTGGTGGCTCACAGAAATTTACTCTGTCCTTCGTGTTTCCGTATTTTTCTTTCAAAATACTCTAGGGACTTGCCTCTAATCCAGGATGCTTCGCGTTCAAGTGGCGCAGCAGTTTTCAAGGTTTTTTTTTGCCTCATTAGAGAGCCGATTGCCCCAAACTATTCAGAGCGGGGTTGGTGTGTGGGAATCACTTGTCCCGATAAATCCATATTTCAAGTTGGACTCATGGGAGTATCTGGTGAAAGTTTTATGTTTCTTTGATGTTGAGAGCTCTTCTGCCTCTTCACTAGTCCTTTTTATTTCCCAAAGCAACTTTCTAACGACGTCTGTTTCGTACTTATTTTTGCTAATTTCCAGGTTAAATTTGCGCGCTCAAGTGACGAAAAGATAACCTGGCAAATAAAATATCTTTAAACTCAAATAGCAAACGGGGAGGGAAAAAGGGTAAAACTAAAACACAATATACATCTACACCAGGCACTGTTGAACAGGGAGAAGAGTGGTACACACCTTCTCTCCACCAAAGCTACACGCCACAGCCACTCGCAGCCTATCAGCTCCCGCTTAACCTCTCGTCCATAGAAAGTCCTAAAATCCCGAGAGAAATACACCACTGTAAATAAATGGAAATAATTTAATATTTCTTGGGTGGCCCGGTACCATTTGATCCACGAACCGGTACCGGTCCGCAGTCCGGGGGTTAGGGACCACGGCCCTAAAGAACTAGGTACCATCGGACGCCTGCGACAAGCGGAATGTCAACGATGTTCCAGCAGAAAGCACCTGACCTGGGGGTTAAGTGGTTCACCGAAAACACTTGTAACGGTCGATCAGATGTCACTGCTGAAAGTAGCCGTTCTGCAAAACTTGAAACCAGGCCTTCTTCAAACTCTGCACTTACTTGTGAACGACCACCGAAGCCTCAACTGGGGCGGAACATTCAAGCATCTATTTCTTTCCCATGAAATCAGCCTTTTTAATCACGGCTATTCCATAGCCGGACACCAATTCACATGCACACTGATCCAACAAAACATCCCCAATGGTAGGCTGAATACCGATGCTCAGAGGAAGTGGTGTCTGCTGGAACGGTAAAAGGGGCTACGAACACTCCAAAGCAGGTGGAAACATAATACGGGCAAGATGCTTCGCGGCGTCTTTTGCATGTACTCTAACCTTTAAAAGGTATGTGTTTAACCTGAGCAACTGCTTGGGGTTGAGCTGGCAAATATATGTCACGAGCGAAAAAGAATGCACAACTGAGCTGACATCCTAGCTCACTAAAATGTAATGACGCACTTGGATATTAGACAGGAACATGTGGCCTGTCCATCTTGCACCTAGGCTTTCAGCATTTAGAACCATGATGTATGGCAGACACAGCTCCGCTTTGCGTCGGCTAGCCGGTTCAGACAAATGCAGTATCTTGAGACACATAAGTCCAATCCATAATTCCACGCATTGCCCCATATAAAACCTGTCCCGATATACGTTTGCGCATTCTTAGGGTGACTGCTGGATGTAGACAACGGATTCGATGACCGAGCCACGTGTTACTGTGTGGTGGCTTAAAGCAAACAATCAACAGTGACGTGTTCTTACATTAATAAACCATATCGTTCGTTTTAGTGGCTAACAACAACCTTTACTATTCTTGATTCGCGTGAACTCTAAGGTTTGGAACGATCAGCCACATCACTTAAATGTAGTAGTTTGTTTTCACTTCTCTTCTGCATTTACAGTTGGTCTACGTTAGTACCGAGTTCTACTTGTTCAGCCCAAACCGGAATCGACAGCTTGAATTGCGGTGTGGAAGATGTACGCAATCTACTCGCCATTCTTGATGCCACAAAGCTTACCGGTCCTGACGGGCTCCATCCGCAGATTCTTAGGTTCCCATTGGCCATCTTCCCGACTTCCGTGACTGATCTGTTCGACAGGTCATTGTCCGAACGTGCATTGCCGAGCGACTGGAAATGCTCGGTAACAAAGCCATATCCGAAGGGTGGTGATCCAAGCAAGGGGGACAGTATCCGGCAAATTAGTTTAGTCTCCAGTTTGGCCACGGTGCTCGAGATCTTGAAGAAAAATCTGCTGCGGCCGTTTGGATCGAAAGATCTCCGAACATCGGAACAGTACTGTTCCATGGAAACCAACTTTTGCATCACCAACTTGCTGGTAACGAGGTACGAGTGGTTGCAAGTGCCGAACCGGTAGAAGTCAGTCCACGTGGTCCATATTAAATTCAGTAGAACGTTCGACAAAGTGAATTATACTTCCTCCTACACAAGCTGGTGCCACATTGCACCAGGGATTCAGCGAGTTCTTTATTAGACGGAATTGGAGGGACCAGGTGGATGATCATTTAACTGTCGTGTACCTTTCAAACAGTGAGGTACACCGAGGCACAATACTGGGGGCTCATTTTGTTCCTGATCCACAACAACGAAGTGCCTCAGCTTCTTCGGTTGCCTTTGTCATGTTTGCAGACGAACTGAAGAGTTGGAGAATGGTTGATGCTCTCGACGACTGTGGCCTAATTCAGCACGACCTCGACCGCCTGTCTACGTGATCTGTAGACGTCCATCTGCCGTTTAATCTAGTCAGTTCATTAGTTATGAGTCTGGTAAAGAGGGGATGATGTGTACGTAGAACGTTCTATGATGTTCTAGGCGTACTCTCACGCTGCGACTGGAAGTCTGTGGATAACACGAACAAGCTATATGTGAAAGCACTGTGCATGCACTGAACGCTCAGTCGCAGCTGCTGCACTTGGTCTGAGGCGATCGCCACTCGCCTCTTCTCTACCATATAAACCGAATGCTCGAGTACAGCTCACCAGCCTATTGTCCGAGCACCCGTGGCGAGGGCAAAATCTGGTAGTTGATCGGTATTTGGCTACCGGGCTCATCCGCAGTTTCCGGGGTAGGTCGTACGAAGACAGATACAGGAGACGGGTTTACACCCTGTTGTGTCGCCTGTTTCGAATGGATATTATAATGACGCACCGGCTATTAAATCTGGGTGATTTCCTCATGCATCTGAATAAGACGTCGCACAGCCGAACTGCGTTGAAAGTGCGCGGTAATAAATGACGTTATTCCGTGTACGTGCCCGATATTATATCGATGGTGCAACACAGGTGTAAACCTACTGACTCTCTATTTTCCGTATACAACATTATTACCATGTCTGTACAATAAACTGAAGCTGCAGCTTG